TTAAGTGAATTCTCTACCTTTTCACTATCTAGATCCTTTGCATTTCCATATCAGTTTTACAATCAAGTTGACAATTTCCAAAAAAAAAAATTTAAAAAAAAGAAAAGAAAATCTTGGTATATTTTGTTTGGAATTACATAGAATCTATAGATCAGTTTTTGGAGAATTGCCATTCACAAATATGCCATTTATTTATGTATTGTCTAATTTATTATAGCAGTTTTTTTGTAGTTTTTAGGCGAGAGGTATTGGATATATTTTCTTAGATTTATTTCTAGGTATTCTCTTCTCTCTGCCCAACTACTATAATAGGAATTTGAAAGAAAATAATTTTCATTTATTTTTGCTATGAATACATAATTATAGGATACTTTTTATATTAACATTTATCCTGCACATGGCTTAATTCTTTTATGGTTTATGTAAGTTTTGGGGCGTTCCTTGGTATTTTCTCTACAAACAATATATAATATGCCAATATTGACAGTTCTGTTTCTTCATTTTTGGTTATTATTCATTTGTTTCCTCTCTTGATGGGATCAATCGTACCCCAAACCTCAGCATCATGCAATATACCAATGTAACAAACCTGCATGTGATTATATGGTTTTCCTCCTTTACTAGGTTACTGTTGTAAATGACATTGATTTCTGCATGTTTAACCAACTTTGCGTTTCTAAGAAAGCCTACTTTTGTTATGATGTATTTTTTTTTTATACAGCTGTGTCATTTAATGATGGGGTTATGTTCTGAGAAGTGTGTTATTAGGCAATTTTGTCATAGTGCAAACATCATAGAGTGTTCTTTCACTAACCTGGATAGTAGAGCTTACTAGGCTACATGGTAGGGCCTACTGCTCCCAGGCTACAAACCTGTACAGCATGGTACTCTACTGAATACTGTGAGGGAATTGTAACACAATTGTATTTGTGTATTTAAACATGTCTAAACATACCAAAAAGGAAATGTGTTGAGCTAGGACATTCTGATAGCTACGATGTCATGTTACTGACCGGCTACCATGTCACTAGGCAACAGGAATTTTTCAGCTCTGTTATAGTTTAATGGGACCACTATCATATATGTACTTTATTGTTGACTGAAACATCATTATGCAGCACATGACTGTATATAATGAATTACATTTGATAACATTTTGTTAGTATCTTTACATCTATGTGAAGTACTTTGGAATTTTTTTTAAATAATTTTTTTTAAATTTTGATATTAGTCTTATGCTGGACTTATAAAACCAAGTTGGGCAGTGATACCAACTTCTTTATCTTCTGAAAATATTTATGTTAGATGAGTGTTATTTCTTCCTTGAAACTTTGCCAGAGTTTACTACTGAAAACATTTTACCCTGGAGTTTTCTTTTAGGAAAGATATTCGATAATTTAATTATATATAATTATACATTATTAATTATCTTCATATAATTAATTATATATAGTTATATATAGTATGTATTATATATATTTGGGCTTGTGGATTGCTGAATTAAATATTTATTTGTTATTAAATACATATATTGTAACTGTTTTTCTCGTGTCAATTTTGGTAAGTGTATTTTTTAAGAAAATTGTCAATTTTATGTAATTGTTGCATATTTTGCTGTAATATTGTATTGTTACCCCCAACAACAGAATATTGTATTGTTACCCCCAACAACAGAAGTCTGTTGGTTCTGTGTCATTCCTGACATTAGTGATTTGTGTCCTTTCTCTCTTTTTCTTATATACATCCTAGCTAGGACTTTTTAAATTTTATTGATTCTTTTTTCAAGTAACTAGCTTATTAGATTTTTGTCTATCTGTTTTATCTTTCATGGATTTCTGCTTTTTGATATTTTCTTCCTTCTACTTTGAGTCTTTAGACCATGGTTGAATTTAAGTCCAAGATTAAATTACATATTTTCCGTTTGTCCTCTCTGTTTTTTTATCTTCATTTCTCTATTTCTCTTATTCCTGCCATGTTTTAGTTTATTTGAGTATCTTTTCACATTCCATTTTTATTTATCTAATGTATATTGGCTAAATCTCTTTTGTGTGTGTGTTTTCTGTAGAAGTTTTATTATACATACCAGGCCTTTCACAGTTTATTTAGAGTTAATATTATGCCATTTCACATAAAAAGTAGAACAATTTTGGGGCTGGGTGCAGTGGCTCACACCTGCAATCACAGCACTTTGGGAGGCCAAGACAGGAGGATCACTTGAGCCCAGAAGTTTGAGACCAGCTTGGGCAACACACAAAACCTTGCCTACAAAAATAGAAAAGAATAATTTAAACACAGTAGACAAATTGCAATAATATAAATGATCCTCCACTGAGCCTTATGTTGTAATTTTTGTATGTATTGTACGTATGTACATAAAAAATCCCAGCAGATGATAAAATACTGTTTATTTTAAATAGTTATATGTATTTTAAAGAACTTCAAAAGGAAAAACAATCTTTTGTATTTACCCAGAAATTTACCATTTCTGTTGCTGTTTCTTCATTCCTAAAGATCTATGGTCCTCTCTAGTATTATTTTCATTCAGCGTGGAGAACTTGCTTTAGCAATCTTATATTCAACTCTCCTAGTGATGAATTAACTTACTTTTCCTTTATCTAAAAATGCATTTATTTTGCTTGCATTTCAGAAGAATGTTTTCACTAGGTATAGAGTTTGGAGTTGACAGTTCTTTTCTTTCAGCCTGTAAAGAAGTTGTCTGCCACCAGGCCTCCATGGTTTCTGATGAGAAATCTTCAGTATTTCCACCTATTCCTCTCTATAATGAGGCATATATTTCTAGCTGTTTTGAATAATTTTTTCTTTATATTTGGTTTTCACCAGTTTCACTGTGATGTGTTTAGGTGTGATTTTCTTTGGACTTGTGTATGGCTGCGCTTCTTGACTCTGTACATTTATGGATTTGATTAAATGTGGAAAGCTTTTCGGCATTGTACCTTCCAACAATTTTCCTTCTCAGTCTCTCATCTCCTTCTGGTACTCCAAACACATTAGTTTTGATCTTTGGAAATTTTCCTACAGGTCCCTGAAGCTCTGTTCACTTATTCTTTATTCTCCACTTTCATTCTCTGTTCTTCAGATTAGATTATTTCTATCGAGCTCTTTCCAAGTGTTAAATTGAGTTTAGCCTAAACCAGCCTCCTTACAAATTTTAGGTTCAGCCTAAAGGTTTATCTGTACATCGTGAACTATAACCTAAATGGAGTTGAGTCTACTCTTGTTCCAGTCACTGAATGTTGGCCAATCCAAGGTGGCCAGCTGTCCAACCATGTTCAAATAAGGCAGATGCCAAGCTGTAACCAATCCAGCTGCTTCTGTACCTCACTTCTGTTTTCCGTAGGTCACTTTCCTTTTTCCTGTACATAAGTCTTCTTCCACTGCATGGCTATGCTGGAGTCTCTGTGCCTTCTTTGGCTCAGGATGCTGCCCAATTTGCAAATCGTTCTTTGCTCAATTAAGCTCTGTAAAACTTAATTCGGCTAAAGTTTTTCTTTTAACACAAATTTGCTGATTTTTTTTCTGCATTGTTTTCATACTGCTTTCAAGTTCACCTAGCGTATTAGTCCGTTTTCATACTGCTGATAAAGACATACTGGCGACTGGGTAATTTGTAAAGAAAAAGAGGTTTAATAGACCCAAAGTTTCACATGATTGGGGAGGCCACACAATCATGGTGGAAGGCAAAAAGCACGTCTTACATGACGGCAGGGAACAGAGAGAATGAGAGCCAAGCAAAAGGGGTTTCTCCTTATAACACCACCAGATCTCATGACACTTATTCACTACCAAGAGAACAGTATGGGGGAAACCACCCCCATGATGCAATTATCTCCCACTGGGTCCCTCCCACAACACATGGGAATCATGGGAGCTGCAATTCAAGATGAGATTTGGGTAGGGACACAGCCAAACCATATCATGTAGTGAGTTTTTCATTTTAAATCCAGTAATGTGCTGCATTACAATGTTTCAGTCAACAACAGAATGTGTATATGACAGTGGTCTCAAGATTATAACAGAGCTGAAACATTTCTGTCACCTAGTGATGTCGTAGCCGTCGTAATGTCACAGTGCAATACATTACCTTTTCTATGTTTAGATATGCAAATACATAACATTGTGTTATAACTGCCCACAGTATTCAGCATAGTAACATACTGTACAGGTTTGTAACATAGGAGCAATAGGATCTACCATATAACCCAGGTGTGTAGTAGACTATGCCATCTATGTTTGTGTAAGTACACTCTGTGATGTTCACACAATGATGATATTGCCTAATGACACATTTCTCAGAATGTATCCCCATCAAGTGACACGTGACTATACTGTATATTTCACTTCCCAGCAATTTAATTTTTTTATAGTTTATTGTCTATTGAGAATTTTTATGTTTTCATTCATTTGAAGAGTGTTTTTACTTACTTATAACGCATAGTTGTAAGAGCTGCTTAAACTGTCTTAAACTAGCTAGATCATCAGGTAACTTGATAAGTTTTTGGTTTTTTTGTCATGAGAATTGGTCTTTTTTTGGTCTACTGAGTAATTTTGGGTGGTGTGGATATTGTGAATCTCTGTTGTATACAGTCTGTTAGAACATTCCTAATATGCTTATTTTAACAAGCAATCAGGCCACTTAAATTCAGACTGTAAGTTGTGTCTCATCTTCTGTGAGAGGTAGTTCAAATCTCAGTTACGTTTTTAAATTCTTGGCTTTATTGGTTTGTGTCTCTCCTATGCCTATGCAGTTCAGGGGTTAGAATAAGACTTGTGCAGACAGCTCAAATCTCTGTTTGGCTTCCAAAGCATTTGCGGTCTTTATTTGGGACTGTCTCATAGAAGCTTAGTTCAAGAATTATGCTGATAGTTTTGTGAGGTTCTTTCACAAATTAAAGGATTCCCTTCACTTTCTCTTTTATCTGTGGGATTCTCCTTAAACTCTCGGGCTCACAGGAGACTTTCTTTTTGGTTTCTTTTGCCAGAGAAACAGGATTGGTCTCAGAGTTTATCTGCTTGTGCAGCTGCCATTTCCTCACCATTTTGCAACTGAGGTCTACCCTTGAGATCATACTGCACAAGAAAGAAGCAACGTGGAAAACTCATCACTGTGCAGGTCACTTTTCCAACTTTCGACTCTCTTCTATGGTTTGCTTGCTTTTGAGAGGTGGTTGTTTTCTTAAATGTATTTTATTCAGTTTTTAGCTGTGATTAGAATGAGGAAAGGGCTACCATGATTGAACTAGAATGTTTATTAAATTTTTTTTGCCAGAAAAAATACTGATTATATGTCAAGGTATAGAACCTGTCTTTTAAAATTAACCAAACCAAGCCAGGCACAGCAGCTCATGCCTTCTGAGAGGCCCAGGTGGGAGGATTGCTTGATCCCCGGAGTTTGAGACCAGCCTGAGCAATGTAGTGAGACCCTGTCTCCACAAAAAAAAATTTGAAAATTAGCTGGATGTGGTGGCTTGCACCCGTAGTTCCAGCTACTCCAGAGGGTAGTAACTGAGTATGGTAGTATGGTAGTACTGAGATGGGAGGATCACTGGTGGTCAAGACTTCAGTGAACCGTGATCGTGCCACTGTACTCCAACATGGGTGACAGAACAAGACCCTGTCTCAAAAAAAAAACAAAAAAAACAAAAAATTAACCTAACCATTGTAACAGATGAAGTCCTGTCTTCATGAGTCAGTTGTGTAGAGAAGGGCAAAAGTGATTGTTAAATTGTGACTATCACACACACCTAATTTAATAAAATAGCTGCTTGTGATACTTTAGATTTCACATTCCACCTATTGTGTGTACTTAGTATTATTGTCAGTGAGTAAAAGACAACACTGTGTTTTCCTCCTCCACTGGGTTATTAAAAATAAAACCAATTGTATATTTGAAGTGTTTGGTGCCTTCAGAATCAAGTTGTATATAAATTACAGTGGTATTATTTTTCTAATGCATAACTAATTCTTAGATATTGTTAAAGCCCCTATGACTGATTCTTTGAGATGATTTAAGTCTAAGACTTAGTTAAATATAAAGTTTAAAATTAACATTGGTGACAGTGTTTCTTGTTGTAAGTGCAAATAGTGGTCAGTGACAACTTCCTTATGAAGTCAAGTTTACATAATGCTACAATATAAAAAGCAAAGGATAAATTGCTGTGTTTGATGCACATTTTGGATGTAGTACCATTTTCTTCTTTTTTTCCTCAGAATAATCAAGGGCGAATGTGAATCCTGTGTTATGTGTTTCTACTTTTTTGATGGTGATTAGTGACTTGTAAGGAAATGAAAGAATGAGGGCAGCAAGGCCATTTTATGTAACATTGAAGTTAAATTGTTCTTTTTAAAAAAAAGGATGTATGGGGCATATGATAAACCGTAAGATTTTCCATATGCTGATGATATCCTTCTGACCCTGAATTGGATCAAATTATTTAAATATGGCTCAGATAAGAAGCACATTGCAGTTCAGATGAAAGAGTATCCTAATGGAAACTTTCCAAACATTTATTATTCTTGCTTGCCTCTTGAAATGGTGGGCATAGAAATAGCAAGTCTCTGAATATATGTTATTATTTGTGAAATGATGAGCTATTTAGACATTATGTTATATGACCACGAGACTTTAAAAAATACTTACCTGATTAATCTCTAATTTATTGTATCACATGACCTCAGTATTTTATAGTTTTCAAAATTGAGATATAACTGGCGCTTGGTAAAATGCCCAGATCTTAAACATAAAATTCAATGAATTTTCACATGAAGTCCATACACTTTTTACATATATTCCCCAGATCAAGATATAAAACATTTCTGTCATTCCTGAAATTGTTTATTGTACCCTTTTCCTTTCAATAGCTCCCATCCTCCAACTAGAGTCAGTCACACCTTTGTCAACTTAGATTAGTTGCCTGTTCCTCAGGTGCATGTATATATGTGGCAGCAAACAGTGTGCACTCTTGCATAATGTTTTCAAGATTCATGCATGTGTTGTATTTTCATCCATGTGTTGTATGTTATTTCATTTCTATTGTTGGAGAATATTCAATTGTATCAATATTCCCCAGTTTCATTGTTCATTTTTCTCTTGCTGGACTTTTGACTCACCTTCATTTTTGAGCTATCATGAATAAAGCCACTTAGGACAGTCTGTATGTCTTTTTGTGGAGACAGTTCTCATTTTTTACATGAGATAATAAATTTATTATAAATTGATATGTAAATTTGCATATTTGGATTTCTATTTCATGCCAACTTTTAGAATCTAATTTGCTATAAAAAACGGTCCCAAAAGGTAAAAGTTACACTAAAAAATTCTAACGTTATTTGAAAGATTATTCTCCCTTATTTAAAATATGGATTATCCATATTTGATTCTCCTGTGTAAACTGCAAGGAAAAATTAAACTTTATAAATCTGTAAAAAGCATATGAAAATTAAAACACTAGACACATGACATTCTCACTTTTTCCAAACAACTGATGTGACCATTTCTCCCTTCAAGGGCCAGCCACATGACTCATATCCTTTCTCCACCATACTATTTTACTATACTATGATAAGCAGTGTATTCGCCCATCTCCCCATGAGACTGTAAGCTCCCTGGAGACAAAGACCATCTGTGTCTTTTCTTTTTATCCCTGACTTCTAGCGCTTTGCCTGGTACATGGTAGGTACACATTATATGTTGAATGAACTGAACAACTGCCTTTTGTCTAGGGTATATATTTGCTTTGCAAAAGTTGCTTTTGCTATGGAAACACAACATACACTTAGCTTTAGCTCAAGAATTTACTATTCCCTTTATGTCTTAAGGCTTTTGTTTAATACATGAGCTGACTTATCCTAGTTTCCTATTCATGTAAAGTATGCTTCTGATGAAAATACACACTACTGGAAACTTATAAAGGGTTTCTGTTTTATTCGTTTAATAACATTGTTAAAATTTACTGATGTGTCATTGAGAAAAAATAACTTCAAGTGAGGACAACACACACACACATCTTTAACTGATTTTTTCTTCAAGAGTATATAGTACTTAGTACACTGTGTACTTAGTGCATAGAATATAAACATCACTTTGCTTATTTTTATTATTGGGAAAATGTACAATATCTGTTTTACACAATTGAAAGACCTTGGAATTATGCATGATTTTTATTACTACTGGGATTTCCATGTTGGATCAAAGGTCATCATTCTAATCGTCTCAGATTCCCTGTTTTTTCTTCTAATTGATCATTGCAATGCCCATCTGTCTGTGGCTCATGGTCTAACCTTTTTTGATAGGGGCAGAGCGGCAGATGGACAGCAGATGGGAGTTTTGCCCTGCCTCGTGGTTCAGATCTTGGCCCAGGCACGAACTGTCAGAGACTGTCAGTTTGTCGTCTCAGCTTGTGGTCTCCAGTGCTGTGTCTGGCATCTCAGCCATGGGTCTGAATTGATGCCAAGCTGGACCAGCTATTTGTCATTGTGACTAGTTAATGTTAATGACTAACATTAAGGGTGGGAGCACCGAGTGAGTGTGTCAGATAACCTGGTAGAATTGTGCTTTCTACTGTGAGCAGGATCCCCAAGACCCCAGAGTCAGCTCATTCTCAGGAGAGAAGTTACAGAATTAGAAACAGGTAGGTGTCTTATAGGTATTTACCTACTTTAAAAACAACACAATTTCCCCAAAGTTCTCCTTTCTATACAAAATCACATGAGGACATGAGTGAAAAGTGGAGGTAGATAGACAGTGGCTTGTGTTTTTGTCTAATTGTTGGACAGTTGTCATCTTCTGGAATTCCTAAGGGTACTGCGTGATTCAAACTTTGACTATTGATAACATTTTGAATGCAGTAACTATGACTGCTTCTGCCATCACATTAAAAGACAGTTCCTGAGATTGCTGGTCTTTTCAAAAGGAAAGAAGAAGGTCTTTAAAAAAATTTATTCTGAACTATCAGCACACTCTTTTTATTTTTTTATTTATTTTTTTATGTGTGCATGAATTTGCTGCTTTATAAGTGACTCTTTTCATTTCAGTAGAAACCTGACTGGAGTAAACAGACGAGGCTGGGTGAAGTCTCCTAATGGAGGGTAAGCCTTGGCAGTGACCGTGAATAAAAGGCAATAATGAGTCTGAGTGGACGCTGAGCTCTGTGTTTTTTTCTTATTTATTTAGTTTCTTTAGACTTAGAGCTCCACAGAGATCATATTGTACCATTCCCTTAGCTGAGCTGAGTCCCAATTTTGATGAATAACACAAGAGAGTTTATGTAAGGAATATGTGCCCACAGATCTCTAAATAAATGTCCACAATAAGTACAGAAAACTGTCCCACTCTCTACCAGGGCCATCAGTAACTTCTCACCTAGTTGTAGAGATGTTTAGAATACTCCATTTCTTTCTTGTCCTCTGAACTAAATCAAAATATTATGTCCTGATGGTTAATAGTATTTCTGTTCATACGATAGGTACATGATGACATTATTAGACAGTGTATTAATATGAATTGTCCACATCTGAATATTTTCTTGTATTCTGGGACTCAGAGGTTGCTCTTACATATTTGTAATGAATTATGCTGCTCAATGTTGTTCAAATTATATGAACAACATTGGATTGTTATACTCAAATAAATTATGTTTTCATTCGCTCCAGATATTCTCTTAATTTGATTTAGATATCTGCAGTGTTGACCACCACAAGGCACTTTAAAATCTAGATTATAACAGATGGCTAGACAATTGTTTACTTAAACGTTGAGTAACCCCCACATTATAAAATGAATATAGATTTTATTCCATATTCCATCAGGTATTCTTTTATCTCTTCAGTTTTCTTCTTTCATAATTGAATATATTTAACAATTGTAAAACTGTGCTTCTATCCTCAGGTAAGATAGTGTGTGTATGCATTTGTCTGCTTATGTTTGTAATTATTGTTCAATTTATATATATCTGACAGGTGACCAAGGTGCTTGTATTTTGGAATCTTGGCATTATATCTGTGGCTTCCTTGAGACCAACTCATTTACTCTTTCCTTTTAAAGGAATCTTGAAATGGAAAAAAAAAAATCTTATTACAGTGCTACTCAGGATGGCCTAAAGGACTGTGTTACACCCCTGCTAGCTACTAATGTACTTTAACTTGGATCTTGCTAACATGATTTCAGGTGAGGTGTGGACAGGATCTAATTAGTTATAAATCTGTAAATGCTTGAACAGAGGCTAGCTTGAAATTCTCCATCTGACTGATACTGCTGTAATACTGTAATCCCAGAAAGCTCTCTTGAATGAATTTCCATTAGCCATGGAGTTAAGGGAAAGTCATGAACTTGAGGAAATTAAGCAATGTCTGTGACTTAGCCAGTTAAAT